ATATATATATATATATATATATATATATATATATATATATATATATATATATATATATATATATATATATATATATATATATATATATATATATATATATAATTAATTAATTCGAAGGAAAAAGTTCCTCGACGGGGAGAGTGTGGGCATGCCAACCAATTCCGGTCTATCTTAAGCTTCTCGTGGTGCTTTCATAGTTGGGAGAATCTCACTCGAATGATGAGACGTGACATCTCAGACTGATGCAAGAGGGCGACACAAACGACAAGAAGAACATGCATGCCAACGTGAATTGACGTACACAAAATCCCTGTTTCTCGAGTTACAAAGTAGAGCAGTACAACTGTAGTTTTCCCTTCTGCCCCCGTTTTTGGCCAATACAAATCTGATGCAAAGTCCGCACTGTCGCCACACTACGACTCTGTTGCCTAACCCAACCAAACACTATCACAAACGCTACCCATTCTTCTTCTCCATCTCCAGCGAACCAGGCGATGGACCACTACTAGCAAGGAGGTGTATCACCTCCCTTTGTCATCACTGCACAGAAACAAAGGAAGAAAAAATGTGGGTTCTCTGGCCTAACCAAAGGCTACTTTTGCATGGTAAGATATCATTTTGAAGCCGACCTAAAAAGAAGCTTCATGCAGCTGAAAAATGAAGGCTGTAAAAGAAGAGAAGAAGGGAGTGATGGAGAGATACGAAGAAGGAACTTCATGTGGCTTCTGTCTTTTGTTAGTGCTGAGCCACCCGAGACCTAATGGATAAGCATAGTGTGCTGATTCCTACCATGAGCCTCCTCCACCGAACATACCATTCCAAAAACCAGGAGTGGCCACACCTTCCTCCCTGCTATTCTCCAACTCGGGAGTCGTGCTTGTATCAGCCACTCCTGGCTTTACGTCTTCGAACGGGAACACAAGCCTTCCATGAGCACTCTCCTGCATCCCCTGCAGAGCCCCGTACCCGCCGCTACTCCCGCCTCGTCCTCCTTCCCCTCCTCCTCCTCCTCCTCCACCAATTCCCTCTATCGGGAAGTTGAATGCAGGAGCCCTGAATTCCTGCAACACAAATCCAGTTGGGTATTCCGGCAGTGGCACCGGCACGAATGTCCCGATCTCTCTCGCTGTCATTCCACTACTCAGCAGCTCCATGGCTGAGAGAGCACCAAGTGCATTGCATGGGATGCTTCTACTACTGGTGCTGCTATTGTTGTTGACGGTACTGCTCTCCAAGCTGGGGAAGTCGTTGTACTCGGGGAGTCCCGGGTGGGGGAAGGCCATGTTGAGATCTTGTCCCTCATGGAACTTACGAGAAGTAGAGAGGGAGAAGGGAGGGGAAACGTGCTCGGTTGGAAGCTTCTTAGGATTTGACACTAATGCTGATGCCGCTGTGGCGGTGGAAGAGGTAGCGGTGGTGGCGGCGGTGGAAAGGAAAGACTTCTTGTTCTTCCTTGAGCCACCACCGACGGGAACATTTCTGAGGGATCCACCCTCGGTCCAATACCTCCTGCAGGTCTTGCAGAAGTACCTGGGCTGAGTGAGGCTGTAGTTGTTGTAGTAGCAGAACTTGGTGTTGGTGGAGTTGCACCGGGGGCAATTGAGGGCCTGCTCCTTCTGCGGCCTAGCCCTGCGCTCCGTCACCACCTGCGACATGGCTGTGGAGCAAGTATTGCTCGCAGTGGTGGTGGTGGTGGAGGGGGAGGAGGATGCAGAGGGCACCAGCTGCATGGGCTTCGCCAGCCCTATCTCCTGAAGAGCAACAAAACCGCATCCCCATGCGGACCAATAATTAGACATACAAAACATTAGCAAACATCTATATATGTTGGAGAGCTGTAGATAGTCACGATTACATGAAAAGGATGATCCGAGGGAAATCAGAAAAGATGAAAGAGAAATCAGACTCACTTGGTACACCAACCTGTTCATGCCTTTGCTTTACCTCACAAGCTAAAAAGGAGGAGAAAGAGAAAGGGAGAAGAAAAGAAGGTAGAAAAAGAAAGTGATTTGCTTCTTTCAAGGATTAAAGAGGAAGCCATGACAGTATCATAAGAGATGATGTACCAGAAGAGATCCAACACAAAGAATGAAAAGACCCAACAAAGCGCCATGCCCTCCCTCACATATCCACAGACCATTTACCTGACGCCACTGAGCAGCATCCATGCGATCCGGATGAAGCTGAGAGAAGAAGAGGAAGAAAAAACGGCTGCTGCCCCTGGAGAAGGAACGCTTATGGACGGCGGTGGAATCGCGGTGCGGTGGTGCCTCTCATGGCATCGAGAAAGTAAGAATGAGATGGCTGCGGTGAGAGGACGCGAGTCCGCCAAAGCTTACCATTTGTGCGGGCGGTCTTGTCCATTGCTGCCCGTTCGCCGTGTGTGATTCGAGTGCACGAGCGAGACGGCACGGTGGGGCCGTGACGCAAGTGCGGACGCTGACGTGGTACGTTCCTGCGATGGAGACCTGTTGTGTGGGGCCGGCGACATGAGTTGTCCACAGACGGGATTCCGCCAAGCGGGGCCCCACTTCTCGTGCCGATGGGAGGAGAATTGCGGGTACAAAACCATCGAGATCTTGCACTCCCTGCCACGTGGCGCACTCCCGTGCCTTGCGATTGGAAGATAGATCAGATGATGCATTTTTGGGCTTTTTGATGAATCAGCTGTTGGTGGCGGGGGAAAGGAGGAGTTTTGACCCGATCGGGATCGGATCGACATAGTCGACGGGTTGGGTTGAGTCGATTTAAGTTATCGGATCGATATTTACGTGGATCCGCATCCGACTCGTGGACAGGTTAAAAGTCTCCATCCAATTGATGATCTTATGGGTGCAATTGATTTGAACGAGCTTTATGCTTATTGCATACCGTAGGATGACGTTATGAACTTAAAACACGAAAGTTAACTCGTACCGTACGATGACTTTACATCCAAATAACGCCCCCGAAACAGTTCGGGGGGGGAAACAATGGCCACCGTTCGAAGCAACAATCGAGTACGCACACGAATCTCAAAGCGGCGTTATCAACTCAAATAGGTAGGATTCGTTTTGTACGGGCGCTTAACGGTGGTGACGCGAGTCGTGTCTGAAGCGGCTGCGAGTGGTCGGCACGGCTATAATTGCTCATTACGATGCGGCTCGATAACATCATGGTCCGCAGGCCCTCCCTGGCACCGTGCACCACGAGACATGCCACGAGTCGGGCCCAGGCGAGCATGTGTTGTCTGGTGAAAGCGACGCCCTCGGCTGACAAGCCACGTACTGAACTCCGAGGGTGATCGCAGATGTCGGGTAAAGCGCGAAACGCATACAGTGCGTATCGGATCAAAAGAACAGGAGAACGATTCCGAGTGTCGACCATCCATGTCCGCTGTGCCCTCTTCTTCCCCTCTCTCTCTCTCCCCGCCTCGTCAAGTCGATCGTTGTGCGTGCACTTTGGCTCCCAAGGCAAGCAAAGAATGGCTGTGGACTCCATGAACACTCCACGATGTCGTCCTGGTGGGATCTGCTGCCGCTGTCAATAGATTTAATATGATACAAAATATTGAAGTGCTCTTGTGATGTTCCTCTTTGTCTTCCACTGGCTTCGTCGTCCTATCATTTTACACTAAACGACAAGCTGCGTTGCTGTGCTTTGATGCTCTCGCTGTTCCCTTTTGTCCGCAGGCAACACAGATAGATGGTTAAGCAGACAATTTGCCTTACTATTACAGGTGTATGGCTTAAGGCAGCCATTCACTCATCAAATCTAAATGGGTACGTATTGGTTGAGAGTGGGAACTATTCGCTGGTCGTTTCCCGGTCTTCTCCACTTGCAGAAAAGGATGGACGGCGGAATTTATTCTCGTGCGCAGAAAGCTGCGGTGCAATGAATGATGACAATCTGAGTTAAGCTGATGGGTTCATATCCGAGACAAGTTTCCACGTTATATGTATTTAATATCTCAAGACAGAACTACTAATTTCGGCAGATTGGTTTTAATTTTCGATTCCCTATGTCTCGAGTCAAAGTGGCCGACGCACAAAAGGATAAAATATAGCTTTTGTTTTACAACAAAAAGAAATACTGATTTCAGTTTTTTCATTACAGGCAGACCTCACATCGACAAAGTAATTGATGCACAAAACATCACAACAAGGATTATAATAGAACGTGAAGAGCGAGATTGCAGCCACTATGTGGGGGCCAGAAAGAGATAGAGAGTGTGCGTCGGATGGGAGTCTAACCCAATCCCACCTACAAACCTGTCACCCAACATGCCCCTTTTCTCTCTCAAGAAATTGACAGTTTACACTGTTCAGACGAAATGCATTGATCGAACAAGGCTATGACAGAATTCTCTACTCAACCAACAACAAAAGTAAAAGCACATAGGCTAACATGTTAAAAGCATCTGTGTCAGATCTACTAAGAGAATAGTTGACAAAATGGAAAAAGAATGGGCATAAAGGTCAATCTCAGCCCTCTGTCTTCTCTGCAGATGGGAGGCCATAAACGCATTCATTTTTCCCTCACTAAGGCCAGATTAGGCTACCAAAGATATCTTCAAATGAAACGAACAGTATGTTTTCTTTGTTGGAGAAGTTGTACCAGAAGACATGAAGTTGGAAGGTGAGAAGGTTCGGTCTTCTCTGTCTTCTCTGCAGATGGTAGGCCATGAACGCATTCATTTTTCCCTCACCAAGGCCAGATTAGGTTACAAAAGATATCTTCAAATATTCTTACAACAACAGAATCAAGGTGGAAGCCATGCAGAAAGCCTGAAACGAACAGTAGGTTTTCTTGGTTTGATGAAGTTGGAAGGAGAGAAGGTTCAGTCATTCAACTTGCAAACTGCCACAAATTTCTGTACTGCATTGTGATACTGGGTTCCCTGTAAAGTGGAGACAACACTGTAAAATAATCTGGGATAAGACGTATAATTTGAAACAATTTGGTTTCTATGAACTGAATATTTGGTAGGGTACCAAGCTGAATCAAATTATTATCACAATTTGTAACAATATGGGCTAAATTATTGAGGGTTTGAAGAGGATAATTTATCCAAAACTAATCGGTCTTTCAGAATATTGAAGTACACAGCTGCAATGATTATAGTGGATATATGGCTTTTCAACTTTGGATTGAAAACTAGGACATGGTCATATCTTGAGAAAAGAAAACATTAGACTGTCCGAAAACAAAGATATCATCAGGCCAGTTTAACATCTAACGGAACCAAGACAACAACGTCAGAAAGCAGGTTGAGACATTACCTCCCAGTAGAGTTGTTTGCAGTCAGTGCATTGCCAGAACTCAAGATTTCGGTCAAAAAGGCAGTCAGGAATGACCTGGAATCCCCTAGAAGCTGCAATAGCTTCTTCAATTGTCAGAGGCTTCTGAATGAAGTTTCCGTTGCATTTTGTACATCTTGACATGAGTTGTTCCTCGGAAATTTTCAACTGGAAGGTCTCAATAACCTGTCAGAACTAAACAAATCAAAACTGGCACAGAATGTAATAGTCATAATAATTCTTTTAGTGAACATAAATGTTACGACCATTGACCAGTGTATCTTGATAGTTCGAGAACATGATTTCCTAGTCAGATTTGTTTTGTAGATCTAATTTTGTGAAAACTACACACATAACCGAGATTGCTTCTTTGAGATGTTATAACTCATTAAACGACACAAGCAAAATAACATAACAAAAAGAACTTTTCTCAAAAGAATCAGGTCTTACTGACTGACACATCGAGAAGATGAAAATGAAAAGGTCACATGGCCAAGATGAACCAGAGCACCAATTTGAGGTACTGATCTGAAAGAGAATGGGTTCGGATTTCACTCCTGATACTTAAGATATAAGATATTTAATAATAATAAGTGGAATGAAGTGCATACTGCACCTAATATGGGTGATTTAATGGATATGTTTAATGCTTCATATAAAGTAGCAAAATAGAAATCTAAAAGTTCTAAAAATGACTGAGATGTTGTAGTTGGTTGTTCAAGTGATTTTGGATTCCAAGATGACAGTTAAATTAGTAAACAACTGCACCATTCAATTACACTAAGAGCACATTTATATTACTATAAGTAAACCACTGAAGTGAATTTATAGTCAAAGTGATCTGAGTTCTTGTGTTAATTCACCAAAAATAAGATGCAATTATGAAGTGAAGTTCCAAGAGGCCAAAAAAATTGAAGGTGGTCTTTTGTGCAAAGAGCTCCAGAATCATTTTAGGGGAAATGGGAACAGGAGATTTCGTTATTTCATTTGAATTTTGTAGAGCTCAATTTTGGTGCTTTTCAGAAAACCAAATACTACTTGTGAGTGATTGATTGGAAAAAAAATCAGAGCTCACTTCCCCCTTAATTATGTAGTTAGGCTTTTATATAACTAATTTCACCTTGAGCCTGAACCATGGAAGTCCTAGGTCATCTGAAGTGCATTCCACTAGATATTTTTAGCCTGCAATTTAGTTGATTGTGAACCCAACCACAGGCTACTAGTTATTTTTGCGGACCATCAAGTAGCTAGCAATGGCAATGAATCAGCAATCAAGATTTGTCGAGAGCAACCTATGATAACCAACTGCGGCTCTACGGATTGTTTACCAATCTAATAACAGATGGTAGTACCAACTATGTTAAATGATGAGTGATCACCCTCCAATGTCCTAACAAAGGCGACAATCTGTCAGCAAATGAAATTGGGGTTTACAATGGGCTAACAATTTGCCTGCAATCACTGATAAACTAATATGGTGTGTTGATTGACTAAAAATTGGCTCACTAAAAATGTTGATTGATTAAAGATCCTCAATTGTTTGTCCCTAAAGAAGCGAAAGACAACTATGAGCAATCGCTATGTAGTAAGAGGAATGATTGACAAAATGTGCATGGTCATTGATTAGCAGTTTGTTAGCGATGGCCAGCCTGTAATCTGCTAGTGGTCCACAATCATCAAATGGTGCGCTCTACCAGAGGTTAACAATCTAACAGTGGTTTCAATTGTAATCAATGGAATACAACCAATAACAGCAGTTTACAACTCTCAACAAATCCACTGAGCAACCTTCATGCTATCCATGACAACAAGGTAGTGAGTGAACTGGAGATTATCTTAATAAGAGATGTCTGATATATACTGAACAAATATTCCATGCAATTACCTCAAGTAGTTGGTCATTCTTGAGTGAACTCTTCACCTTGTATACTTGATTCCTCACCAAATATTGATATCTCAAAAGCTTGGCATCTCGTGTTAACAGGACCCTTTTCTCTTTGTATGCTTGATTCAGTAGCTGCCTACAGAAAATAGAGGTTGGATAAGAATCATATGTTTCTGTTAAAAAGAATGTGACATACACATGGTTAAGAAGAGGTACTAAAAGTCCAAATGTGTTTTCACAAACTAACCTTGGATCAGGCTTCCTTAAAAAAGGAATAGCAGCATCAATGCCAACACATCGTAGATGTTTTGCTAACCCCTCTATCTATGGATCCAAAACTGTATCTAGTTAGATTTAGTAGAATTTCCAAAATGCACATGATAAATTAAAGAAAATACACAATCAAATAACACTAACAAAAGCCTGAGTGATGCATGAAAAATAGGTCAAATATAGAAAGTAAACACGAAAGTTTTGGATAAATGTTTATACTAATTGTGCTAAAAAATAGTATAAAAACATATAAGAAAATCTATATAGACCATCTGTTAAAGATCAAGAAAGCAATTAATAAGAAAATATAAGTTTTCAGGACAATATCATAAGGACCTAGTACTGGACTTCCCGCTATATTTGTTGAATTCATATGTGATCCAATTTTAGATCAAGCTCTGATTTGAAAGCCAAATGTGATTATATAATTTATATGCATCTTATGTAAACCATCATTAAATACAGTTCTAAATTCATCTGATAGTGAATACATTATTTCATGATACTCGACATACCATACATTCTTTCGTTGTCTCCTACGAAACAAGCTTCATAATATTAGTCCATGTTTATACTGTAAAATTGGTTAATTTAGTAAAGTAATCTCTAGTAGCAATATTTAGGAGGCCTATTCTTTCAAATTGGAGAATACTCCAACAGCAATTGGTTGCTTCCAAATCATGACCAACCAATTTTAGACAATATGACTTGATCCGATCCAATCCAATAGTTGAATTACAAGTTCATTATCTAGGTGAAAATCAAACCTTCATTTTGGAAGCCTGAAGTTTGTAAAAATCAAAGTTATAGTTTATATAACCTGAACCGAGCAAATCCAATTATAGTCAAACTTCATAATGTTAGTTCAGATTTCAGGCCCTGACTATCATGATTTTATTCTAACATTATGCTTTTGGATACTATCTTGCAACCATTAGATTTAAGATTCAAATGTAAATGAAGGTGGTACTCATAGTAAAATTAACAATCCACAAACCAAAGAATATTTGACTGAATTGGTTCATAATTGACTAAATTTTGATCGGATTGAGGTCAATCTGGATCTTATCAATCTAGAATGAGCAAGATTCTGCTTAGGAAAGTAAATGCTTATTTTAGCATTGTTAGGGTGAAATCAGTTCATAATCAGGTATATAGAATAATACCACTATTAGTTTGAGTTTTTAGTTAAAAATCTGATAAATGTAATTTTGAGGTCATGAATTAACAAGCACACATTCGTCGAATACAGTGATGCCTATTTTGGGCAGTATTTCGGGTGGGCAAGCCTTGATACAAATGATAAGAATCTTAATTCATGACCTAGATGACTATAATTCAACTCGCAAAAATAAGCTCTCTGCTTGTAGGGGTAGGACTGTGTGCCTGCCTAACTTTTCTGTCACTTGTCAGCTTTAGCCCCCTTTTGAATTAGTTCTATGGCCTGAACTTTTGAATATCAAACCCCCAATCTTGATGCATGCTAAATGATTCAACACCTCAACTGATGCTGAAGAGAGATCCCATATAGACGGAAGCCTTATGTACTAGGCTCACTTTAGGGATGTCTATTTTCCCTAATGACATAAAAAGTAATAAGAACACACGAGAAAGCCATACTACAAAGTCAATGACTATAAGCAATCAAAACTAGCAGCAGCGATACAAATATAAAGCAGTGCACAAAGAAAAGTCTCATACCATCACATCACATAAAAACTTTGGGCTTCCATCCCCACCGAAGGATACATCCCATGGTGGAGGGCCTTGCCAATCTTCATCACAAGTCAATTTCTCTTTGTTCTTTGCATTTCCAGATGACTGCTTTTTCTCTTTTCGTCTTGAGGTCCGAGGTATTTTGTCTGATTCCTTCAACATAATTTTTTCGCCATGTCTCCTGACATTGTTCGAGAGACAATCATCAAGCTGAAATATATATATCAACAAGAAGGCCATAAGGTGGGTATAACTGCAAAATGTCTCAAAAGAGAAAATTTTAAAATCACGTGATCTGACCATATCAGATGATTCACAACATTCAGTAAACAATTTGTTGGAGCCTGATTCTGGGATGATTTCCTTTTCTATAACAGTGGCAATGAAATTCTGTCCAGGAGGACTAGGTTGTGATTTGGCTGCTGCTACAATCATTCAAAGTTAACAAAAGAAATTGAACAGCATTTCAAAGGATCTGTTCTGCAAGAAAATTTAAGAAATAAAAATCCTAACTAATCATTATCTAGCAAAAAATCTAGTGATAAGACCCAAAAGACTTTTATAAGATAGAAAATTACCAAGAAAAGAAAATGAATCAGAAAGATTAAATGAAGTTAGGAAATCCTGATAGAGTTGTCATGCTAGATATAACTTACAAAATTACAGCCAAGAATTTCAGTATCATATAATCATGACATGCTACCATCGTACAACATAGCAGGTGCCAAGGCATGTGTTCTCCCAATTATTACACCTGGGACTCAACAAGTGTGTTCACATAATTCCAGTATGATATGACCAGGGCAACTAAGCATTACTTTCAAGAGGCGTCCAATTACAGAAGGCTCTGCAAATGAAAATAGAAGACTGGTGGGATGCAATAATTGCTTAGAACAAAAGTCAGATCTAGCAATGGGAAAACATCGTGTGATGAGATTAAAGGCTACCAAAATTTTGTAGCTATTGGTATTGGTGAAGTTGGCTCAACCCAAGCAGAAGGCTTGATAAGACTATAAAGTGAATTTGAGGTCTCCAAAGAGACTTGTTTTTAGGGTACTGAAATCAGTGGATTTTGTAGCTATTGGTATTGGTGAAGTTGGCTCAACCCAAGCAGAAGGCTTGATAAGACTATAAAGTGAATTTGAGGTCTCCAAAGAGACTTGTTTTTAGGGTACTGAAATCAGTGGCTATTATAATAAGTCCAATACTTTAATAATTTTAGTACCGATTATTTCTTGAATGGATCATCATGAGGCAGGATAATAACCTCATGCAATTGTCCATCAGCTCCTAATGATCTTAACTTTCACTTTCATGTTAAAATAACCGTTGAACCTCATGAACTACAGGATTTATAACACACCAGAAGTCCATTCGTATAGGCTATTCTATTGACCATAAGAGAAGGCCAGTGAAAAATTAGAAAAAGAAGGCAGAAGCACTTCAAGAATATTCCCGTCACCACTGTCACTTTCACATCTATTTTCTTTGTTCTTTTTTTTTTCTGTTCTTATCAGCATCAAAAGATTTTTTTTCTAAATACCTATTTGATTAAGGCAGTCACCGCAAATGTAAGAGAGAGTATATTTTGTATCAATATCCTGAATTTGGCTTTGCTACTATACTTGTGAGCTGTGAAATGAATGTCAGCTTAGTGAATTTGGGGAATAGAGAGGCAAAAGAATGATGGCTAAACCAATATCACTAGCTCAGAAGACACTAGGCTAAGCCATAGGCATTGATACACAAGACTGCTAAGTCCCCAGACGTTTAAAACTTGTCACATAACCAACAAAAAAAATTGATATGGAAAATTTTGTCATTGTCCATCACACTGAAAAGTAAGATAATACAACACAAGTTCAACAAAAAGAATGTACTATGGAAATTTGATCAGGACATATACATATAATAATAGTTCCAAGCTTACAGAGGATATACCTTTGGTGATTATTTTTTGCTGGAAGACATCAAATATTTCAAGCAAGTAATACGCATCAGCTGCAGCATATAATATCTGCTGTTCACTTAGAGGACGGCATGACCAGTCACTGCATTGGAGTTCCTGTAGAAAGAAATTGTTGAGCAATAACTCCAGGAGATGTTTGAAGTCCAATATAGAAAATTATATGATGCTTCAGGTCATTTTTAAATTCTACTTTAGTCAACTCATACAAAATGAAGAATAGAAAAGGATATACAAAATAGGAAGGGTACTTGCAGACATGGAAGAACACATGATATGGAGCCATTTGTGGTATTTTGATGGAGTACTAAGGCCTTTAATGAAAGCCAACGAAAGCCACTATCCATTAGATATATTACATGTTAACATGAAAAAGAAATCCAGAAGTCTATAAGAAACCTCATGCAACAACCAACCTTTGATAAAGAGACATTAAGAACTTCCTTGCAGATAGCTGCTAAGCTTTTAGTATCCTTTGGATGTTTTTTACCCATGGTTGGATTCTTTAGGTGATGGTAAATGCTGGTGATATCCATAAAAGGCTCCACCTGTCCCAGAAAGACATAGTTATCATTTCAAAGAAGTGAGAACCATTAAATTAACATTAAAGAAAAGGTCCCAGATTCAAAGAAAAACTAGCATTACAAACTTCAACATTCCATTGTAGTTCCTACTTGTAGGCCACCAATTATATGAGAACCTAAAACAAACATTCCATATCTTTCCCAATTGACACTGTTGTCATCATTTTCCATAGATCAATAAGTCCATCGAAAAAATTCGAATTGATCAGAGACTGTAACTTAACATATGGGGAGAAAGGCAAGTCTGCTGAGAGTGCAACCGACGACCTAAGCAAACCCTTATACTGTTCTCAATCTTATTTAAAGGATCTTGTGGTGATTGTAGATAGATCTCCTTTAACTTCATGCTGTCCGCTGCATGTAAAATGGAAAGATGACCAAAAAGGCGGCCGTGCATCCAATAATCCGCACAATGTTTGGCCCAATTTTCAATATATATCGAAATTAAAAGTCCTAAAACAATGCAACACCAAAGAGCACAACGTGTACAGAATATGCGGAGGAAGATTACTCTATCGAAGCCAGGATCGCATCCGTTGGCGGAGAAGGTGGAGGAGAGGTATACGAGATCCTGTTTGAACTTAAAACCAAGCTTGATTACCGACGACGACTCGAACATATCCCGTAGCGGATCCCACAGGGCAACGAGCGGGACGGAGAGTAGGTCCACCAAGAAAACCGGCGAGTCTCCGACCACCGGATCCGACGGGCGCCGACGGACACGGCAGGCGATTTGGAGGAGGGACACGGTGGGGAACGACCGAGCCGGGAGGTCGGCGGCGGGGGCGGAGTCCCCGCCGCCGACGGTGTCCTGGTGGCGGAGCCGGATGGTCCGGTTGGGCTTCCACTCGGCGTCGAGGCCGACGACGGGGGAGCTGCGGAGGGCCCAGCAGAGGAGCGCAAACTCGGGCGAGTCCGCGGCCGCCACCATGTGGATCTCCATCATCGGCAGAGGCGGTCGCTCGGGTTGGATCGGCTCCATCGCGTCCGGACCGGATCGTTTCGTGTTAATGTCGCCGGGCTCTTATCTACGACCCAGCTCGGGTCGGAAGAAGTTGGTGGGACCACCACATGATTAATTGGTTGTTACTTAACCCAGTCGGTCCATTAAAGCCCAAAAAGTATTGGGCTACTGACACCAACGTCATGTGTTCCAAATCCAATACATATTGGATCTCTTAAATCTTTGAGATGTATGATTATTCAATCAAAATCTTGATCATTGTATCAAGTTATCTAATACAAAGAATGAGATCTAATGGAGGATTTGTCAGAAGGTTACTGGAAATTGCCACGTAAGTGCAGAGTTCAGCCTCAGTCACCAGCTTTTTCCCTATGTGAACGTTCGTACGTTTGAGTAATCAAACATAGTTTATTGGAAAACAAATCATCGGCGTGGTAGTAGTCATTACTTCGATAGGACTGATGACAAGGCTTGGCATATACTCTCTCAGGCTCTATGCTGTCAGATATCTAATCGTCTACGTCAAGTAATCCCACGACAAGTCCATCAGCTCAAGATTTGAATGTTCCAATCTTGCCATCATCTGGAAAGAAACAAAAGACCTGTGAAGGATATGTTTGGTGTTAAGATACCACAGAAGCAGTTCAAAATGGTACAACAAACTCACCTAAATACTTGATGATAAGCTTCACATTCCTAAGATCCAGTTCACCTACTGGGAGAGCTAACGTCGTAGGAACACGAAGAAGTTGGAGAACCGGTCAACAAGTCACTACTTTGACTTTGACTTGTGTTTTGGTCACATAATGCGAGCGTTTGAAGCTTTCCCACGCGAACACGTTGTTTCTTATTAATCTACCCCTCCTTTTCTATATATATATAACTAATCTCTTCTTGTGTCAAAAGTTAAGAGTGACAACATTTTTGTTATTGTCATGAAGGCCGAACCACGAGCCGGAAAGGTAGTGACTCAATCTTATGGAGGAATGACATCCTCTAAGACATCCATATCCGAGCACCTGGTAAGCACCAAACGTTTCTCGAGAATTATAACCAATAGCTTCAAGCTTCCGTCTGACTTTTCTAAGAATTACCGTGGAATCAGTAAGAGTTTACACGGCACAAAATTCTAGGTTTTCATCTCCTATTGATTGGAACCCAATTAAATGCGTGTCGGTGTCCACTGTCAAAATGGCCTCATTGTTTAGGATATCCATGGGGAACGATCCTGGATAAGGTTCCTCACCTCAGATCGATGTACTTAGTGTTCATTGCACCTCCATATCTTTTCTTTCTTCCTCCGCTTCTGGATCTGTCTTACAGTATTATAATACCCGACACAAATCTCTCTCTCACTCACTCTCACTCATACATGCAGAAGAAGAAACGGAAGAGATCAACAGGTCCTTAGAAAATGAAAGGACTACTAGGGGACGGCAATAACTTGTAAACAAAGACTCAACGTAACAAGTGAACGAGGGAATCATGCATGTGGGAAGCAACATGCCCACGTACTGTGTTTCGACAAGCTCTACAAAGTACTGGCTTCAATTCTTGGCTATTGCTAAATCTCCGAATCTTACAATAGTACTGGTCACAGTCATTAATAGAAGATAAGAAAAATCTTTCGTTCTATTGAGGAAAATCCTTCGTACTAATATATATAAATAAGAGAGTTAATGTATTCAAATTAAAGTTACTTCAATAAAATTTCTTCAATAATTATTCTTATTTTCTATTCTTTCTATCATGGTATCAGAGCAATGAGAAAAGCGAAGCTTTGCTTTTGCCTTCGACTAGCGACTAACATCGCTGAGAAAAGCAAAGCTTCGCCCTTGCCTTCGATTAGCGACCAACGCCGCTAGCCAAATTCCTAAGAGGCTCCACAGTCAATCCTCATCTTTCTCACCGCGATAGTCTTCGTTGATCTGCCAATAGTCGACGGATTTAAGGAGAACGAAGGGCAGACTTAAGGAGAACGAAAGGAACGCATGTGCCGTCACAGCAACAGCAATCGCAGTAGCAGCAATGATCTACTCTTGCTCTACTCACGACTCTCGCTCGTAAACCATTATTTGCATCGATCATCCAAGATTGGTATCTTTGACAGAAGCACCATCTTGCGGGAGCATGAAAGAAGATAAGGAAAATCCTTCACTCTGTTGAGGAAAATCTTTCCTCCTAATCTGTATAAATATAAGAGTTAATGTATTTAAGCTAAAGTTACTTCAATAAAACTTCTTCAATAATTATTCTTATATTATATTCTTTCTATCGGTCGTTACCAACGTGAAATGCTCGTCTCCCATAAATACATTTTTCTCCGCTATTTTATGCCACCAACTTTGCTCTCGAGTGGCATAATCATCATGTACTGTGTATTAAGTCCAAATGTAGGGGGTTTATTTGTTATTATTCGAACCGTGCAAGGATGTTTCAGGATATGCACTAAGAAAGATGAAGCTTTGAACGAAGTGTGAGGAAACGAGGAAGGTGCGATGTTGCATCAGATGGGACTTTGTGTGGAAAAGAGGCACGACGTTTACCCAACAATAGTTGATTAGACCGGGAGACAAGGAAATGGACCGGAAAGATCGAATGATACTTTGACCGTGGAATCAAAGTCAATGGAACACCCAATTATGCGTGCCTCCCGTGATTTCTCTTTTGTCTGGGAAAATCATAAGAGGCGTATTTGTTTGAGAACCCAGATAAAATTACAGGACTCTTAAAATTGATAGAAGATAAGATTTATCTAACTATTTGAGTAAATTTCTCTATTTTGTTGAGAAAAATCTTCTATTCTGTTGATGGAAATCTTTTCTCCTAATTTGTATAAATAGAAGATGGAACATGATAATGTATTGAAGCATTTTTATTTTTTCAATAAAACTTTTTCAATAATTATTCTTATCTTCCATTATTTTCATCATGGTATCAGAGCAGTGAGAAAAGCGAAGTTTCGCTCTTGTCTTTAGCCAGTGACTAACGTCGTTGACAAAAGCGAAGCTTCACCCTTGTCTTCGGCCAGCGACCATCGTCGCCAGTACAGCCACATTTCTAAGAGGCTCCACGATCAATGTATTGAAGCATTTTCATTTCTTCAATAAAACTTCTTTAATAATTGTTTTTATCTTCTATTATTTTCATAAAAAAAATTTAATCATATATTTAATTACTAAATATATGACCAAATTGATAGAAAAATATATTTAATTATATATTTAATTGCTAAATAATTCAAAAGAGATTTGTAACTACCAAAGAAACACCCTATTGGCTCTTTCACCACCGACGCAAAAAAGTACCAAAGCGTCACGACCACCGACGCCTTTTCCGCCGGTCGTGATCTCATATTCTGGCCATCGATCTGCTAACGGACGGCGATCCGCGTTCACTCAAGTCGTCCGATGGCCCCCACAATGATGTAATAACACCAGCTCGGATGCCGCGTGAGCTGTTTGAGTTACGTTGTCTCGGAAACGACCGATGCTGTGGTGGGGGCCATATATCGAACGGTGGATATGCGTCGTTGAAGGAGGGTACGACTCGGGCAAAGATGGAGGGATCGATCCGATCACCGAAGAACATATGTTTTCATTTGTCGAGGATTCATTAAAAAGGTATCTGAATCAATCAAATAGAGTGAGCCAATAGAATAGCTAAAAAAGAAGAAGTTATTTTCCGTGATATGATAATAATATTCTGAACATTATTTTTGTGCAATGAAAAGTTCCCATTATAATTAACTTTCATGAAGTCAAACGCGTTGACTCCGTGCCAATCTTCCCCAGTCGTGCACTGACGGCGGACCCACCATCCCCAGATGGGAAAAGAAGGGCTTGGAGACTGGTCCTGTTAATTTCCGCGTGTTCTTCAAGCTAGATATCTTACGACCGCCCTTCAACGCACGCTATTCGGAAGTCAACACCACGTGGACTTTTTTCTTCCCTCCTAAAAATATTCAGAGAGAATGCACGGGTGGTGCGAGAGGACGAGTGATTTGAGATCCACGCATGATCTTGATGAATGTTGTCGAGGTGTATATCATACGCTAGCAAAGAGAGAGAGAGAGAGAGAGAAATCATTGATTTAAAAGAATGTATATAATCGAATAATTTACCAAAGAAAAATCCAAGTTTTGGACCTTTACAAGAGAAATATGGGAACATCCCTTTAATGTAAATATTATGTTTGTCTCCTCATCGGTCCACACCATGGCTGACCTCTTCCTCTATCTCTTCCTTCTTGGTTGATGATGCCGGTTGCACTCGTGTCCTCCCCCCTTTTGTTTGATCATACTTGCTCTTTCTCCTTTTTCCTCTTTTCTCTCTCATCTATTGACAATCTCAACTCTAACCTCAGTATCACAACCTTCAACTTCCACTACTAACCCATTCCCCTCTTCCTTGTAGTAAAAATATTAATTACAAAAAATATTTCTAGATAAATTAACAAAAATAATCCTATTGGATTAAAACTCAAAACCTAATATTTTTTTAATAAATAATTATATATTTATTAACATAGTTTATGTTATTGATATGTTCTTGGGTATCGATTGATTAACTATATGATACGTATCAAATTATATTGATATGTGTTGACAAATTGATATGTATAGTTCGTATCATTCTCTTGTCAGATTATTATATATTTCTCGTATTAAACGATACATTATAATATGATGAACCTTGCTTATCAATAAACTCTTACATTCATGTTTATACTAAGATACTTAGTTAATACTCTTAAAATATATTCATCTCCTTTAAAATATTAGGAAGAGGGATCGAATTCTTGTGGAGATTCGACTATAAAATATAAATAAAAAATATGATTTCGAATATGAGACTTCCTCTCTCCACTAAGTCCATTTCTAAAGTCTAGATTAAACATTAGAGGATCACATCGAGTGCCTCATTGCGACAGTCTTGGTCGAGGAAACATTCCTCCATAATGCTAAAGCAACTGTCATATGCGTTAAAGGCATCATATCGAACATTAAAAGACTCCTCGCTCAGATCGATCGAGATCAGAGCGTTCATCATCGATGTAGCTGTCGTGTGCTCCGTATCAAAGCAAACATTCCTCCTATCAGCCACTAAAGTTTGTCATGCAAAAGGGTTACTCCATAATGCTCATTTTAATGGAATTATGGGGGCATTCCGTTGGTTTTAATCGTAAAAAACTAATGATAATATGGTAGACACTAAGGATAATTATTCTAATATTATCAACGGGATAAGTATTAGCCTTATCGAAAGTTTCAATGGTCAGAACTCAACCTGCATGTTAAAAGGTCATTTAAATGATGCTCAATATACTAATCATAAATTGATTGGTTAGTCAATAACACACTTAGCATATTAGTACAATTATATAATAACTAGTTTCACTCCATGCTCTTTCCTGTAGTGAATAGTTGTCATGTGTAGAGGGATAAGAAGAACACAACTTTGAGTTAGACTTGAAATGATATTTTCGGTAAGATATGACTCTACAATCCTTGGTAGAAGCTCTTACTATTTGTATTTGACTGCGATAAGAAACTTGGGTAATCGTTAGATAATTAATACATCACACGAGATCGTAAACATGTAATCATGTGAATGATTATTCTATGCTTTGTTGACGATAACTTAAATCTAGATTAAAGCAACATAGTGAATCTTATAAAGACACTTCATCCAACGGATCTTATAAACATTGAGCAGCATCTTTCATTTTGTTTGTTTAGAAATTTTGAGCTTTGTGTTGTTACAACTTTGATTTTAAAAACGAAAACCTCGATTTTTTTTTTTACTTTCTCTTTTTTATTTTTCTTATTTTTTAATCTATTTCCTTGCCCTTCTTTAATTATGTGTTATTTTTTCTCAATCAATTTAGATTCTTAAATTGGACTTATGGTGGGGCAGAGTGGCAGTGGAGAAGACAGTTACCGTTCGCTAAGGAGGAAAGATTTATCGCACCGATAGCCTGACGACAGAAAAGCAGTAGTAGAAAGCTTTTTCTTTTACCGCCGGAGGTGGAGAGACAGCGAGAAAAGAGCTTGCTCTAGGCAAGTGGCTCTGATACCATGATAAAGGGAATAGAAAATAAGAAAAAATATTGAAGAAGTTTTATTAAAGAAGCTTTATATATATATATATATATATATATATATATATATATATATATATATATGAAGAAGATTTGTCGTTTGCTTTACATAATGTTGGCGCAGGATTATTCGAGATGTTTTTTATGTGAAAACGTCGAACTCCTTATGTATGACCTACACAAAGATCAAGGTCAAAAGAGATTTTTCGATCCAGTCCCTTTGACACTTAAATTAATAATTCAAGATTCATGAGTACAAACTTGAATAGTCAAAGAAAGTCTTGTAGTCAAATGAAATCCCCGTAAAGGTAAGCTTTTATATTTGATCGTAGAGAGCATGAAGGAAGTTTGTGATTGTTTTTCTCCTCATATGTAACGAGAAAGAAGCTTACGATTGTCTTTCTTATATATAAAAAAAAAAATTTAATCTTATACTTGTTCCAATGTGTCAATGATTAACCGACAATATATTCTTTTATCACATAACTAAAGATATTATTTTGGACACAACCAAGATTTTATCTCTAAGAAAATATTTTTCAAGATTTTGCACATATCATTCTCAATTCCCTTAACATTTTTGCTGCTGAAAAAGCTACCAACCACATCACGTCGGCAAAGTTACGAGAGGAATGTCAGAAACTACCTTTGGGGAATGGATTCAATCATATACATGCACGAAGAAACACAATCATTCCTTGGAAGTGACGTCTAAAATAAGACGGATCGGACGAGAGTCTCACAACCTCATGTATCTTTTTTTTGATCTTTTATTTATTTCCTTGCCCTTCTTTAATTGCTCGTGTTATTTTTCCTCAATTAATTTAGAAAATTTTCCATTACATTTTGGCCGTCATTATTTGAAATAAGAAGACAAATTGCTGCTTGTTTTACGTGGAAAAAGATTAATATTATTTGGATGCAACCGAGAGTAAATCTTCTTCGGGATTTTCCACGTATTATTCTCGGAAAATGGACCCAATTCTCTTTGTTCGCTTACGTTGGAACATTACTGCAAAAATAAATAAATAAATAAATAATGCTTACGTTGGAACATTTGTTTGTATGCAACGAGTGGCAATTAAGTTGTTATTCTGCCTACATTTAGTTGATGCCAAAATGTTTCTATATTTAAAATTAATCATATTATTATTTGTCGACGTACTTTCAAAAGGGTATACCCATCCGTCAACGTAGCTAATGCAGGGCGCAAACGTCAAATGAGCCCTAATTCCGCTACCTGCCTCGTTTGACTTGGGCTCGGCTCGTCCGGAATGGGTCTCGTAGAAATGTCGTATTGGCATTCAGCAGGCGATTTCCGTCTTTTGGTCGCGCGCCGGGGGTAGAAATCTCATCGACATGTTGGCAGCAATAGCAGAGGATGGGAGAGAGAGAGCAGAGACGGCGGCGGCGGCGTGAGCAGGAGAGAACGGTGCAATAAAAAGCAGTTGTACTCACGCGGGGAATTGAGAGAACCTGAGAGAGAGAGAGAGAGAGAGAGAGAGAGAGAGACGCACACAGACCAAAATCCTCGTAGTCTCGCAACTC